ATACGCTCAAAGAATCACCTTTGGTGTCATTGTCTTTTGATTAGTTGTAAATGCTCAATCAAAAAGTTTAATTTCTGCTTCTAGTCTTCCTTTACATGAAAAACTTTCAAGTTGGTCTGTGCGATCGCGATGGTTGTTCAAAGTGTGTATTGTAGGGGCTTCGGCAGTAGAAGCGCCTCAATACGGTGTAGGAGTTCCTTCGGGAGTATCAGCAGCGTCCTTCAACGACATGCACAATCTGATTCGGAAGGCGAACGAAGAACAAGCGGCCGCCATGATGAACGAGGGCAAAGCGGGCAAGGTACGGTAGTGAATTCAAGTTATCTGGTTTTCTTCCTATTTTGCGTCATTTTGAAATAAATTTTGGCGCTGTCGCAAGTATGCGGGGGGGGACTAAGGTGGGGGGACTTGATTAAGGACTAGGCCTAGGAAGGGGCAGAAGTTTGGGAAAAATGAAATTGCTCATGCATCTGGAGTATCTAACTCTTGCGTCAAAGGCTGAGTTTCGATTCTAACAAAAAGGACATGTGTTTCGCGGTTTCTAATGCGCTGCTACAACAATGCCCCCTATCTTGCGATAGCACCTGAAGTCTTTTGATAATCATCGGTAACTGATTTTTAGTTCTAATTATTTCCCACTTCAGATCAAAAACATTTTGCGACGTAACTCTCGACGGGATAAGTCGAAATCGAAGTTGAAAATCGAGTCGACTGCGCCGGCGGCCATGAACCCGCGACCTGGTGGCGCCTCCACCGGCAACTCTGTGCACCATCCACCACCTCCGTTGCCTCCACCAACTCACTCTCCGACTCAGCACACCGGTGTCGAAACTGCGTTCTGTGGAAACTATCAGGTACATAGTGCTCGTTGGCTATATGTGACCGTATTCGGCTAGTTTAGACCCTTTATTGATTGGTTCAGGAACGGGACATAGATGCGGAAATTATGTCGCGTCAGCTGATATCACCACTGGCGGCCACGTCGTCCAGTGCCCTGGAACAGAGTCCTTCAGTAGAGTCGAGTCTCGGAAGTATTCCGGACACGAGTCGTACGGACCCCGGTGCCAGCACGCCTTCTGATGTGGTTGAAGCTCAAGCACGACGTAAACGGCAGCAGGTTTGTACCACTTCCTTTATTAAGGCTCCTTTGAACTTAATCAGCCGCTTCAGGACATCTACTCAGCCCGGCGAATCTTCATAGCCGGATCGGCGGCCGCTGCGGATGACTCGAGTGGAATGGACGCCTTGGCGAATCACACGCAACATCTGAACATGGCCAACAGTCCAGCGTTGGAGGTAAGATTGACTGGTTCCTGGGAAAATATTTTTACATAGGGCGATTGGGATAATCTGTGTACTGTAACCTTGACTGGAAATGGAGTATCAATCCCATATCTGGATCGTAAGCACATCCTTTTTTTAGGTCCTTAGCGAAGAAACCCGTGAAAAGATCCGAAAGATGCAACGACGTCAGAACTGGATGGATCCGTTACCATTGACATTCACTTCCTCGCATTTGACCAACACCATTCACATCCCTGCGACAGAAACATCGGCACCAGCCTCCGGAACCACCATCGAGCACCCAATCGGAGCCACCACCTAAGGTATGTGGGAGTTCTGGTTTACCTTACTGGCGCTTGAACACAGAAATGGGGCAGAGACTTGTTGGCTGTTTCTTGTCCTCTCATACTTGTTTGAAACGGCTTTACTGTATCAGAAAATGTGGTAGATCCTTTACAATTGCTGAAATTTCTTCGGTTCCTATCTTTACGCAAGGGTTACCTGCATTTACGGTTTCCGATTCCCGGAATGTTTGCGGTTATTGCTTAAAAATACAGTGCGTTCCTTTTTCTGCTAACCTAACCCCTGGCTCTCCATTCATTCATTTCAGCATAATTGGCACAGCCGTATAGAGCTTGAAGGCCAAGTCCAGGATCGTACTGATGTATTTTTGCGCTTGCAAGTGACCAGTGGAGGTGTTATATGTAAGGACGTTTTAGAAAACGGGGAGCGATAAAGCAAAAACAAAACCTCTCTCTAAATAGCACGAACTGGTTTATGGGCGCTGGACTTTTTTCGGAGGAAAGCTTAAGTTATTAAAGGAGGAATTCACGATTAGAATGAAGGTCGAAGAAAGGGAAACTGACCTAGTTGAGGGACCCACGGACCTCCTGAGGGTGCGAACTGACGCGCAATTCGCATGGAAAAATTTGACCTCGGCGACCTATCATGCCTCAAAGCTGGCGGGTCCGGCGATCTCCGCCCACCGATCATCTGATCACTCGCCGTAGTTCAATACGTGGCGAGTGATTAGATAGCTGAGAGAGCGTAGTGTTGAAGAGGGCACAGCGATGAGAGTCGCATCAATGCTCGAATCAACGGGCAAGGAAGGGGTCCCATTTCTCGGGTTCTGGGCCGTTTCTCATGGTTCTTCCTTCTTTCGTGTACCACTCACCATCCCTAGGTTAATTTGAAATGGGTTGCTTTTTCATCGTGAATTCGTCCTTTAATTCGAGTTTTGCAAATAATACCCTTTAATAGATGTTTAAGACATGTTCACCGACCAAGGACATGACCGATGCGCTCTCGTGCACTTCGGACTACTCGACGACCAGTTCGGCTCCGCTGACGGCGCCTCTTGCGGTCGCATGCGCAGCGTCTTCGTCGGACTATGCGTCAAGGTGAGTGCTTAGTGAAGGCACTGCCACAAAATCACGCTTAAGTTATCCCGTAATCTCTTCCCACTCTCAGTTTCAGCGATCCGAGCCCGTGTGCACGTAACGCTTCGGCGTCACCTCGTCAACGTCCACCACAAGTACTTGGGGTGCTTCCAGAAGCGCGTTGTCAACAGAAGATCCGTTTGCGTAACAAGACCATCCCTCGAGATCCGACACGACGTCACACGCTGTCCGATATGGATGTGTTGAAGGTGAGTTCGCTAAAGCTAGAGCTGAACAGTTCTCCATGTTACGATTTCCGATTTCCGAGGATTGAAATCGTTAGCTACGTCCGTTGATGTATACGACACAGCTACTGATTACTTCGCGGAGAAATCGATTTCGCTAGCAGAAGTGCTGCAAGATTCTCCCAGTTCTTAATCCAGCATGTTTAAGGAAGGTCGCCTGGAAAAGTTCGCCCGCTGGTTCGGTATCCGCAAGTCGAGTCCGGACATCAATTCCCAAGATACACTGGAAGAAGAAGCGCCCATTCGAAGGAATCCACCGCCGGTGATTGTACGAACGTCACCGAACGAGCTGACACCAGCCAGCGGCGACGAGCTACTGTAAACGCCAGAGCGGCAGCTCTCGCTCCATCAACCCACGCCAGCTGTTCGCACCATTGTCTTTCGTCCTCATCTTGTCATCTGAGTGCTTAGGTGTTTCATGAACTTCGTCAGAGAAGTCGTTGTTGTCGAGCATTGTCATCCGTCTAGACATCAGTTATGCCTGCACCCAGCGTTACTTTCGTCTACCGTATGCTCTGAGCTGAGAAATTCTGTCGTCGTCGTCCTTCCGGTGATGTTAGTACATGTTGTTAAGGATTCGTTCGTAGTAGTTCAAATAGCTTTCACTATCTTTGACTTTATGTATGGTAGTAGGTAACGTGAAACCGGGTCTACTAGATTGCCTCGTAGCGTGTCCGCCGCGTACAGCCGTCTTGTATCTGTTGTATACTTACACACTTTGATTCCACACTCGATACCGTAATCCTCCACTACCGTAATCGTCCGTGAACTGATGCTGAATCGTCCATTGTTGTTAGAGTTCCATGCCCAATCAGACATCTCAGACCCCAATGTCGTTCTCCCTTCTTCCAAGCCGTCTCTAGTGATCTCTTTGCCAATTTAATGTGTCGTTATTGATCGCCCGCCATCATGCCACGCCTACTTATCAGTGGGCGGAGTTTGCGCTTCACACCATTCGAAATTCATTTCGTGCCAACCCACCTACCATATGCCTGTATGTACACCGACAAAAAAAAACAGTGTCGGTGGCGCAGGTGTCCTGCGTGGCGATCGATTGATTGGTGCGCGACTTTTGGGACACTTGCACTTTGTACTGCTTCGTAATGGGTTCCATGTAGCGTAGGCGCCACGTCGTCAGCGTTATTTTTTATCAATTTGTCAGCATAATCATTGTCATCATCATCATCATCATCATCCTCTTCTTTTCTGTTCCTTTTCTTTCTTATTTGTCTCATCATCGAATCATCATCATCATCTATCATGTTTCGTTTTTACATATGTAATAGTTATGTAAGAATATGTTATATGTCGCTATATGTATGTGTATGATATGATTGGATAATCAATAATCAGTTTTGTCTCTCACATGTGTGATGCCTGGCGTCCCCCTGCGCTCGTCCACCACGATATTTTCTGTTTTGTTGCGTTTTTGTGTGTCTCTGAAACTCTTAAAGAAAGTACTATAAGTAGGTATTGCTGCGAAGATTGTGATTATACTATTAGTCATTTGTGTTATAATACAAGACGTTAATAAATGATGTCATAATGAAACGGTTGCAAATTATTGAAAAGCATTGCATTTTTACTTGGCGAACTCGCGGTCAGGCGTCTATCGATTGGTCAGCTGCATCGATTTCATTAGCGCCGTAATGACCGGCCGCCACAGCGCGTAGTCAGCCTGCGCCCTCTCAGCGGCAAACGCTATTTCCACTGTAATCGATCAGTGTTTTTTGCATGGGCAGTTGGCTGCAAATTCGTCAAGTGTAGATTGAGTTCAAGGCGTTGAAATTTAGGTCATTTAGGAAAAAAATTTCGGTAGTTATGGAAAAAAAGTCGTGGTAAGAAGAAATGCGGCGTTATTGATTGCCTAATGAGGATCACTTGAACTTGAATGTAACTCTAAAGCATACGAAACGGCTGTCACGGTTGTATCTGCGAGCGAACGAAGGAAAAAGCACAGGTTGCCTCGTTCCTCATTGCTCTTTTCTTGTTTTTGACTTTTTTTTTTTTTTTGGTTTACTGAGTTTTTTAGGGTTAATCACAGGTAACGTGGTCGTCATTATGTGGTACAAGAGGCTGGATTGAAATTAGCGGAAGGATTTAATAGGTGGAAGAAGACGTCGCTGTGTAGCCGGAAATTTCTGGTAATTGCTTTTGTTATAGATATCACTACTAGTTGCATATCTCTGTACGATCTCGAGGACATGAGTTGTCCTGAGATCGTACAAGTCTCTGAAGAAGCCCTCTTCTGAAAGGAGGTGCTAGGTCCGTCATTTGATCGCCCACTTTCGTGACACTCTTAGCGATAAACCGGGCTTGGGAAACTCGGTCCTCACACGCCCGTAATGGATTTGTGCCCGCCCACGTCCTTTGCATCTTATTTGTATGAAAATATGACCATGCTATGCTCTCTCCTACTTGGTCCTCTTCGCGTGCACACATCTCTTATCTCACTGTCTGCTTCTATAGTTCCCGCAGCGCAAGCAGCAAGGGTCGAGTATTCTGCTGTTTTTTTGGACGACTTTGGTCTACTTCTCGCGTCCACTTTTTGCGCATATTGCATTCATATTCGAGTGTGATCACATTTTTATCCTGACTTTTGCTTCAGAGAGCTTTATTCCTAAGCTACACCCGTCATTCGGCTCTCCCAAAATTCCCCGTCGTATGGTTGATGACTAGCTCGTTGCATTCGGTATCGCGCTTGCTTCGACCGTTTCTGTAATTGATAGATAACGAGCTAACGAGCATAAAGGGATTTTCAAGCTCTTTATTTGAAGCTGGCTTATGTATGAAGATGTAAATGGTGAAAGGTGGACTAGCTCTCTTCCAGAAACCGCGCCTCTTTGATACGGCATTTTCAAGCTAGATTGCAACATATTCGATGAAGGTCTTGTAGATAGGGCAGTCAAAACCACGGTTCTTTGCAAATCTTTTAAAGCTCTCAGGCAGCTCCTTCTCACTACTCATCTCTCTTCCACACTGCGATGAGCTTTTCTTCGCACTTGTTGGAGTAGTGCTCGCTCTTCAAATGTTCAAGGACAAATGTTTATCTCTGGCCTTTCGCTTTCCTTTGCTTACCTCGTTTACGATCAGTTCCTTTTAACAGGTCGATACTGGTTAATGGTCTGTCCTGCCGAAGGATAATGAACTAATATTTCTGAAACCAACGTACGATGAGAACTTTTACCAAGGTGCCGAGACATTGGGCATGGCCAGCACTTAGGAGGATCAGTGCTATTCTCACTCAAGACAAAATTGAGTGTGAGCAGTGATTCTGCACTTACCCGCATATGATTAGAGTTAGAAGCATGTAATTCACGTAGAACAATTGTCGAACGTAACTGGTTTGCTAGCCTAGGTGATATGATGCGTACAGGTATGAATTGTCATTGTGTTTTGAACTCACACCCGTGACCATGGTACGATTACCTGTCTACGTTCTTGCGGTGCTGTAGTACCTCGTAATGTGCGTCTCTTCAGGGGTAAGGTTCAAGACCCCAATTCGATTGTATGAAGAATGGTGCAACGATCGAACAGATAGGGGGAATCGTTGGACGGAGTGATATTCGGCGATTGATGACCTGCTCGCGATTCCGCTACTCAAATCCTACCCAGCAGTTGTCGTGCTTTTGCTTGAGCTACGGACAGTCAAGAATTATGTGCAATACACTTTTACAGCAAATCGATTTGCAGTGTCAAAGAATGGTTTCTTTCAAATGCAGTGTTTACCAACGCGAGTTGTCGGTATGTGTTTACGTAGCAAAGCATGGGTTGCTTTTTCATGCCGTGGATTCTCCTTTAACCCATTCGCGACCGCGCAGGATTGCGCAATAGCAGCAGCGTCAGAAGATTTTTCTTCAATAAAATCCGAGTGAAGGGAGATTTCCTCTGCCCAGGGCTGGCGTAGATGAGCGGGTATGAAGATTCTTCCATTCATTTCAAGCCCTGCAGCACAGTAGACCAACATGTCCCGAAGTAAAGCTTTGTCAGCCACCGGTGGCTGACATTGTCACGAATGGGTTAAGGAACCATGTCCTGTATTCAGAGGTACACCATGGGTTGATGGAGCTTCACTCATCACCTGCTTCAGTCACTATCTTTGTAGAAAAGCCACATTTCTGCATTCCATTCCATTTTGGTTCTGTCAGTAACACCCAGTGATGTAAACGGTGTCCCACAAATATTGCACCATTGAGCTTAAATTCTGTAGATGTCCATAAAATTTCTTTCAAGGCTGGCAGACCTTTACATCCAATAACCTCTTGTGAAACCTTGCCAAATTCCATGAATTACCGTTCGGTCTACTTCTCATGCTGCGCCTAAACTTCAAGATAGGGCTTAACCTCTCACACCGCTAGAGACATCCTTTGATAACTGTCGCACTTCTTTGGAATTTAACCGCTCCGCGGTCTACCGCACACTGACGAGAAGAACCATAAATGTAGTATTCGTAGCGAAATAGAATCTGCCATCCTAGATTTCAGGAATGCATGAGGAAGCGGATCGACCGTAATACCCGAGTTGGCTTGAGAAGAGGGAGAAGGACGCAAGTCACCGAACACAATCATGTAGAGAGTGGTATGTAACAACTGCTCAAAAACCACTGTATAAGTTGCATTCACGCCACTGATCTAGTCAAAGCTAGGAAAGCACGGGAAGGACAAAACTGTGAAGAGTTCAGAGACGAAAAACGCGATTACGTGGGCACCATTTTAATCGACGACAAAATTCCCATTGTGGAGCAAAGCCACAATCTCCAAGCTTTGAGGATGCTCCGCATGAGGCCCTGAGGAAGCCAATGAAAGAGGAAGGATTACTTGCTGCAAGCAGCAGCCAGTCCTTGTCGTGGTGTGGGCAGGGGTCTCAACTACCGTTCTTTCATCACAACTGTTTGTTGAAGAGGGAATAAAACTTGATACCGGGACCTACCTGCGGATTGCTTCAGTGCACCATTGCTACTAATCGTAAGGTACTTCGATGAGAAACGATGAGGAATGGGAAGTTAGTTTCTCTACAATAGGAAGTTGCCTCGGCATTGGAGGCGAAATTTGTTTCAGGACTGGCGTTATGCCCTCTTCCCGATCTCACATCTTCACTGATGGACCTTACTAATGTAATTGTACAGGGGAGTCAAAAAGAGTCACTTCTTAATCACATATCAACACACAGAATAATTCAACACTTAGCCATAACCAAACGAAATGATGCTCAATTGACGCATTGAAGAAGCACTTCTACTCTACAGAAAAAAACTTGCACAGGGCTTATCTACAGAAGGCTTGCCACGGAAAACATGGTGCGCCGGTAAGGCTCAACGAGGTC